ATGTTGTATGCTGTATGTTTAGGAATCCTTGCTTTAAGGAAAAATTAGATTACAAAAAGGATAACTTAGTTTAGAAAAATACGACAATAATTTATATTCATACATCATTATACCAAATTTCTTCAATTAAATGCTTGTATGATTTTAAATTATTTAAAAATGTTGTTTATTTATAAAAATATCCTTATATGAATATGTAGCCAATAAATTAAGCTTCGCACAAAATATAATATTCCAACTTCTGAATACAAAAGATAGCTTTCTGCGTTTATGAATTATTCGGTATCATGGTAAGGTAATAAGAAAACTTGTCTGAAATTTAAATTAGTGAAAAATCAGGAACTGCTAGTGAACAAATTAAATAACTTTGAACATAACATAAGAGACAAAGGTTAAATTAAATACTTTAAAATGTCACGTTAATTTAACGGAATTTAACGTAATTCAATGAATTATGACGAATTTCCGGAATTACATGTTGCCACTTCATATTTTTAAACTCTTTCAAAAAATGTAACCATGAAATCAGAGGTTTCTTTACATATGGAAATTTTTAGAATTTTTATTTAAATTTAAAGCCACATGAAAATTTTTAAAAAGACAACATTTGAACCATTAGAATTCAAGGATTATTATTAAGCAATTTTTTTTCAGAACCTGGCCTAGAGATCAATTCATATTAGTAACTGTAACTGTATATATACATATAATATTTCCTGCTCTTTCTTTTTTTAATTTACAATATTAATTTATTTATTTATTTTAAACTCGCTGTTTAATATCCAGTGTAAAAAATCAGTTACTCTGCCAATACTCGATAATAAATATAAACATAAATAAATTAATTTTATTTTACCAAGGTTCTTTTAATCTTCCTCCTACAGCAAACTATAAACCTTTTTAAAACGAAAATTTTCTTCAGTTAGAAAGTTTAAGACGAAAATTTTTTTCACCTTCATATATATATGTAATAAATAATTATAAGGAATAGTTTAACATAAAAATGCGATTTTAATAAATTATTAAATATATATTCTAGTGTATATTCTAGTGTATTCCGCCACATTCTAGTGTATGAGTCAATGCATAAATATACAAAAATGCTAAGCATTTTTATCAAACAAAACTCTTCTATGAGCATGAATTCCAGACATATTTTAATAAATTAATTGTTAAATTAAATTAATTCTTTTAAATTTCATTTAACGCTTAAACCACAAATTTCTTTCAATAATAAAAAACATTTTTTTTTAATTTTTTTCACAATATGTTTAAAATTACATTATTGTTTTTCAGTTTCACCAACTACTCAAAGATAATTTTATATGACACATTTGCGAAAAATAAATATAATGATTTATTGGAATGAATGAAATTGATTGAATCTGAACCGTATATTTAACGTGTAAGTATAAATTACTTACCATGTAAATAAAAAATAAATACTGGATTCTTCATAAAAAATAGATTCTGGATTTATTTGTCTGTTATATATTCAAGAATATTAAAAAGCAAATGCTATAAGATGGTCTCAAACTAGCCACCCGTGGGCCGCATGTGGCCTCCAAAACAAATTTACACGAGCTTGCGAATACAATTAGCATAAAATACTTCGGATTTTTAGAACAAGAATTTGAGGAAAAAAAAAAAGGTTTAAAGATTTTGATGATGATCAGTTTTACATCATTTTTATTACCATTAAAAATAAATATGAGTAACGCCTCTGGAAATCAACAGAACCGATTAATTTAATTTACACTGTGATATAAATCTTATTCAAAATCTGAAGATACAGATTTGATTAACTTTTATTCACACGTTTAAAGATAAATATCCTCAGTTACGATTCTGGCTATAAGAATAATCGCTTTGTTTGAGAGTACATTAATATGGGAACACTTTTTTTCCGCAGCTGAAAATGAACAAGGTCTAAAAAAAAAAAAAAAAAAAAAAAACACCACACTGACCAATGAACATCTACAACTAATGATGAAGATAGTTTCTAGTAATTTTTCTGTAAGGTTTATCAAAATCGAAACACCATGAAGTGTTGCAGCTGAAAGTTGTAGTTAAGAAACAAAGAAGTTTGTAATTATTTACCTCAATATATAGGTATTTTTTCTACATGCCTCGAAGAAAAATCTAATAAATAAAAGAAAGAGATTTTAAGATCAAAATTTATTAAAATGTTATTCATTTTCAAATCTTGTCTCATTTGGAAAGCTTTCTTAATTTTTTCATTTTTAATTTAAGTAAGTTTTTTTATTGGCTAATTCAACATATCAGAATTATTTGAATTGAAACGTCAATCAGAAAATTACGCATTTAGCTGTCAATATGTTTGAATTGCAAATTATTACCAACAGCAATTTCTTGCAGGTACCAACTAAAGCAGTAACTAGAGATATGGGGACCCAGTGGCAGCAGATAATAATGGAGTTCTCTCTTTATCATTTTTCCCAACCTTACTAACTTTTTCCCCCTAGTTATGGTTAACTATTTTATTAATAATTAAAATAGCTTTATACACTCTAATCGAATGAAAGTGTTTTCAATAAATTTGTCTTGGTTTAATCCTAGTATCCGGTGCACATGGGATTTGGCTACTTTTGGCGACTTTATGATGAGCAGTAAAAACGCGACATATACTATGAGTAGTAAACAGGTCATTCAAAGAATATATATGGTTATACATAGTATATATATAGTGTATATACTATGTATATACACATATAGTATAGTGTATATATAGACGTTCTTTGGATCATTTTTGGTGTTGGCGATAATTTTCAAAATCGCGCCAAGACTGCACAGTATACTAGGATTTTTGTCTTTGATGTATACTGTTATATGTCATTTTGGATTCCTGTTTAATCCTACGAAGTCAAAAACAACGTATATACTAGGCTATCTGACTTCAAACAGTGAATAATATGAAACATATGCATTATATTTTAGGTAAACTGTTTTCTAGTGCATTATGCAATATATTTTATTTTTACGCTCGGATTGCAAAAATCTCTGTTTCGTAACTGTTAAGTAAGCAAACTCATTAATTATGTCACCAAAGTTTGAGCTCGATTATTTTTGAATCTTTAAGCACATGACGCATATCTGAAAAACTCGATGAAATTGAACTGTGCTTTAATTCTCAACAGTTCTGCTTGTAAAATAAAAATATAAATATCGCTAACGAAGTTTAATTTTTCAATCTTTTAAAATGAAATCTCTACAACAAAACAAGTCGTTATATTTCTTTCTCATTACTGAACGTAGGCGGTTCCGACGTTCGAGTACTGCTTTGGTTATCCTGGTGGTCGTTACAACTTTGATAACCAACCTTTATATTTCAGACAGAAATAAATATAAATTTTAATTGTTTTCCTACGCATTTTTAATATTATTGTTTATGTATGTTTTGATAAATATTTAGCAGATAAAATTTAATACTTAATTTTTTTTGGGGGGGAGGAAGGGTTAAAAAATTTCCTTAGCGAAGTACACATACAAAAGTATACATGACATTAGAGATAATTATATATTAAAATGCTTTTCTTTGCCATGCTAAACCTACACTTCATATAAAAATTAGCTACCTAAAAATAAAACTTAGTCATAGGTCATTCATTACAATAAATGTTTGCATATAAAATTTCGAAAAATAAAAGGAGCAAAAATACAAATTTATATAATAATGTTAGCCAAAATAAAAGGCTAATAATTCGGCAAGCAATAAAAGCTACAAAACCAATTCACCATGACAATCCACGTAAACATAATTCCAGATAATTAACATTGAAAGAAAGTAATTAACTGTCTTGTGCCTTCTACCTTTCACATATGGTGATATTCCACTTTAAATCTGCCCCGTTTTGTGTATATTTTGCATACTCACTTTATTGTGTGCATGCGTACATATACCGTATTTACTACAAAATAAATTCTCCTTTTTTGGGGGGGGGGAAGATGGCAGTCTATATCTTAGTTCTAAAATTTGGTAAGATGGCAGTCTATATCTTAGTTCTAAAATTTGGTAGACTCTCACAAATGGGTATTTTTGATAAATGAAATTTCAGCATGAAAAAACTAATTATCATCTTGTATAGAATAATTACCCTGCTTAAATATTAAATAATCCGCGCAGATAATTATAGTATACATAAACTCAACTACGTATTTAATTATTACTCCTTAATAAAAACTATTTAATAACCAGGTATTGCGTATTTTTAGACCAGCATATATAGAGTAATCATTTTTAGAATAATTATTTATAGAGTAATAATTATTATACAGAATAATTACTTGTAGAATAGTTACTTTGCAGAATATACTATATAGAATAATTATACTACATAATATATAGAGAGAATATTTAACAATACATAAAGAATATCATTACTGTTAATAACTACATATTATAATTGCTATATAATATTTATAAATATATAATATACAGAATATTTACACTAATAATATAATTATACTAACTATACAGAATGCTTACATTTTATAAATATTAAATAATTCACATAGATAATCACTGTAAACTGCGTAACTATCGCTAATTAATACCTAATAGGTTTACTTTAACAATTCCAGTTTAGGCCTCTAGGCCTGCATCCACTATAAATGGGTAACAATGTGTAACTAACAATGTCCTTGGACCATAGCAACGGACACTTATTGTTATTTCAAAGAAAATCTGAAAGAGCTGCAAAAAAAATTCTTTTTCTCAGAATTATTGCAAGATAAAATAAATGTTCGCCTTTATTTTCATTCCTTAACATTTATCCTGAAATGCAACGAAAACATTATTTACGAGTAATTACAATATATCTGAAAACAGAAAGTATATATGAGAACGGTAGTATTCCTTAATTAATTGTATTTAAAGAAATCCGTTATTCGAAAACTAAATTGTTACACTAAGTAATACGTAAATTACAAGAATTGTGCTGTAGATATAAAAATATCAAATGCTCTCTTTTGACACTTACCGTACCAAGCCAGCATCAGGTAGCAGCACTAGTCCGAAGTACCAACACGGTTTTCGAGGGCCACTCACTCCTATTTTTCCCTGATCCTCGTTTCTGGATGTTCGATTTTCTTACGTTACATGTTCTTCCGGATATGATGATGTATTCAATACTTCGAATGTTTCGGACATCGAAAGAATACAAAAACTGTTGTAGAGAAGAGAGAGTCAGGGCGCAGTCTGGAATCGAATTCCGCAACCATCCACTTGCTGGATGCGGGTATGTCTGTGGTTGATTGATCGTGGAATAACAACAATTCCAACAGGGTCTCGATTGATCACACGTGTCACCAGTATATATATACGCGTCCGGGCCTCTAAATTACACACACAACAGTTCGAAATCTGAAGTGAAAATCAAGTAGATTCGAGGTTACCAACTACCACCGAATTGATCACAACTGTTCTGATCGAAGGGTCTCTCTCGGAAAAGGAGATGGCAGAACAGAATACGCTGCCCGACAGACACCAGGAACCCTGAATTCGAACACTAGGGCAGAGAATGACGTGTTGAAAGGGCTCAGCTAGCGCCTGGATAGTGAAAAATGCCGTCGACCGGTATGTTCTGGTAGCACTCTTCTATTGACCGTCGCCTTCGGACTAGCAGGCTGGCTGGCTGAATTGCCAGGCGCGCACACATCCGCGCAATCATGCGAGAGCTCTGTGAGATGTTAGAAGGGCGAGCGCATGTAGGGACGGGAAGAAGGGAGGGTGGTGTAGTGGGAGGTGGAGAGTACAGGACGAGAACGGGGGGGGATCGTCTACTTATGGCATTTTTCCTTCGGTACGATACGGCGCATGGAATCCTGCGACACAAATGCAGAAATATTTTGAAAGCTTTAGCGAATTTACGAAAATAAATCATCATTCATCGTAAGTTTCAACGAGTAAGATACTGCTTGCATTTAATGTAACGGATCACAATCTCACTTGTGCATAGCAATCAAACGTCAAATGGTTTCGTAAAATATTACGTCACCGTTCCAGACAATGAGACTTTTATTTTGTGTGTGTATGTGTGAATCGAAATATATAATTCAGTATATTCTTCAGCAGATAAGCATAAACGGTCGAAATAGAAGAACTGCATCAAAAATAACAACGCATTAAAGTTGAAGGATGCTTACTTCTTTTCCTGTTTTCGAAATCACAGGTGCGGAGATATCAACTGGTTTCATGAATGACAACTCGATGAGTGATCGGAACAGTTGAATTCGCAAGGATGTGGTATAAATGCATGAATTAGTGTTGCTACTATTTTCCCTTGCGTGAGCAAGTTTTATTTTACACGCCCGTAATATTATTTTTTATTCGGGAATATATTTTCCTGAGCTTAAATGAATTTTAAAAAATTCACTGCAGTTTATCGCATTTGAGGAGGGAAGGGGGTATAAGCTTGTTGATAAATGAAAATTGCGCGTATTACGTGTGCAAACTAACTAAAATTGAGATTTAAAATATTTTTTTTGAACAGCTAGAATTTTATGCTTCAAAGAAAAAAAAATAAATAAAATAAAAAATAAAACAAAAACTCGATACATCAGATGTACTGAGTACATAAAATAATTGTATAAAAAGAAAACTGAAAAAAATAAAACGAGAAATAGAAAATCGTAACAGACAAATAAAATTTCACTATTGCACACAGCAAGGAAAAACTGTAAGAGTAATAAACATACATTATTGTTTACGGGAGAAGAAAACTGTAAGAAGCTAACAAACAGATTATTGTAGACGAGAATAGAAAACTAAATGTAAAAAATACACATTACAGTACACTGGAATAGAAAATTACAAGAGAGTACATTACAAGAAAATTACAGTTACATTATTGCAGATGGTAAGAGCAAAATAAAAGCACATTATTGTAGAGGGAAAGAGTAAATTGTAGGAGAATATTAAACGTACAGTGTTGTACACTGAAACAGAAAATTGCGTTAACGTACATTACAAGAAATTTACAAAAAATTACGAGAGTGTTACATTATGGGGGCAGAAAATTGTGAGAAAGTATAAACATACATTATACAGACGACAGGTGAAAATTGTAGGAGAGTTTTAAACGTACTTTCTTTCGTTCTTCCAAAGGGTTTTCTGGTTAAAGAATCCCTGCTTTAAAACATCAAATTCCAATGCATTAAAGTAATAAATACGCATAACAACGCATTAAAGTAACAACGCAGCAACAATTTAAAGCATCAACGCAACAATTTAAAGCATCAAATTCCATTTGCAACGAAAATATTATAAATTAGTTTATTTATTTTTTTTACGTACTTATATGAAGTATAGGAAGTACTGCAATCGTGAAAACTTTCAGGCATCATATTTCAACGAAAATATCCATTTTGACCGCTCTCAAATCCATTCGAACGATTTTTATTGCAAACAGACAGAATAAAGGACTCTTTTTTCCAAAGTGGATTGTAAAATGGATTTAAAATGTATTCAGAGAAGACGTCGTGAAAATTTCGTGACGTCTATGCGTACGTATGCACGTATTTCGCATAACTCAAGAACGAGTATCCGTAAAACACTGAAATTTTGCATATGGAACTGCTATAACATCTAGTTGTGCGCCTTCTTTTTTCGTTGCGATCTATATACCCACGCTGTTACCCGGCTTGGTGAACTTTTATTCTTACCTATTGGTACATTGCGTTTTTTTTTTTTTTTTTTTCAAATTTAGAAGTCATTGAGTTATGTTGTTCTTATGTTCCAGTTAAGGTTTTTTATGCCTTTAGTTAATATGCATGCACCAGTTTTAGAATTACCAACAATTTAAAAGTTTAAGTGTCGCTAAGCCCAATGTAGCAACTGTTCGTTTATATTTGAAGCTCTTAGTAGTACATTGAATTAAGGCAGCTGGGGAACCAACTTCAGTGTTCTTCTGCCTAGTGGAACTAAAAGTTAACTTTAAATGTTTGTGCAACGCCAATTTTGTCTTTCTGCTCGTTGGCCGAAATACTTCTTTGGTGTAAAAATTCTAATCTTAAATGCAAAAATTGCTTTTCTTTAACTGTTTTTAACTGCATTTGGTGTTGAAGGTTTTTTTCTGTATTTTACAGTTATTAATGAAGATGTTTTGTGTATCTATGCGATTATGCTTAACCATGAAGTGACAGCTGAATTGATTGAATGAGAAATATATCTCTAACCAAATTCGAGGGAATAAGTTTTAATGGCGTGCAGTAAAAGATGTGTATAATTTAACAGGCTGTACAAGGAAGTCGTGTGGTGTCACATCAGATATTTTGATAGTATTGTTTTCTGAATTCCTAAATTTTTTTGTGATATTATTCCTATTAATACTTCTTAACGATTTATTTTGTTGTTGGGGGAGGGGAGAACTTATTTCATTCAGAACACGCTAAAATATACATATACAAATATATGCAAATTTTTTTTTTTTTTTTTTTAGTCTAAAGGGATTTGAATCCCGAAGGACTATTAGTTTCGTTTTGGCATTTTGCGTCGGACGGATAAATGTCGGTTTCACTTTTCAAACTGTTGCCATAAAATGTTAGAGTCCTGCATTATATTTGAAGAAATTAAATAATGAAAATCTGCGTAAATGTATGTATATTTCTCACATTGTCATAAAATAACGGTACATAGAGTCATCGAATTTTGAATAACGTAATCCTCCAACGAATATGAGCATGTGGAAGACCAAATTTGAAATTTGAAATTTGTTTTATGATCGATTTCCTATTTTTTAAAACTTTGACGAATTTTTGATTAACAAACTCAAGGATTCAAAGCGAGCAATGGCAAACGTTGTGCAGAAAAACATTTTTATCTCCAGCGCGTGAGTCTCTGTATCGGAAATTCTAAAGATATGCTCGTTTTAAAACTATTTTGCGATATTGCTGTTGCACTGGATCTTATGGTTTAAGTGCGAGGAACATGATATTTAATAAAGAAAGGTAACACACAAAATGTTAAAAAACGCCCCTTTGAATGTAATTTAAAATCTGAAACATTTCAGATTTTTTTAATTAATTTAATTTAATTTTTTTTTTTTTATTTTATTTTTTTTTTTTATCTCAAAGGTTTCAGATTTCAAATTACGTCCAAAGGGGCGTTTCTTTAACGTTTTGTGTGTTACCTTTAATTATATTTATTAAATATCATATTCTTTTCACTTAAACAATAAAATTCAGTTCAACAGCAATGTCGTAAAATTATTTTAAAGTGAGAATTAGAATTTCCGATACACAGTTCCGCTCCCGCTGGAGATAAAAAGGTCCCCCTACCCTATAGAGTGTTGCCGTTGCTCGCTTTTATAGGATTTTTGGTGGTGTATTAGATTACGGCAAAGCATTCGAGGGCTATCTGCCTTAAGGGAGGGATGCCTCGTGGAGGATTTTTAAGGGAAACTGGCTCGTATAAACGTTTCAAATGGGGAAAACCACGAAAAACACCCATGCAGCCGCCCGTTCGCGGGATTTAAACTCGGACCGAACTACCAGTGTTCAGCGACGTTACGCTCGGCGCTGGTGGCCTGCTCGCTTTAATCGTTCAGTTTGAATTAAAAAAAAATTCGTTGAAGTTTACAAAATATGAAATCGATAATGAAAAATCTAAATTTCAATTGGCTTCAGATGCCCATATTCACTTAGGATTACATCATTCAAATTGGATGCTCTATACGTTGTTTTATCCAATGCGAGAAGCATGCATACATTTATGCAGATTCTTCATTATTGAATTTCCCCAAATATAATGCAGGACTCTAACATTTGGTGGCAATAATTTGAAAAGTGATGCTCCGTTTATAGTGATTCGATGTAAAATCGCAAAACGAAAACAATAATAATTCAGGGACAAAGCCCCTTTGGACTAAAAAGGAAAGAAAAAAAGTTTAAATAAATTTTACGCATACGTATTAAAAAAAATAGTGGTCGTAAAAGCATAATTAATTTCATATTTGCCGAAGTAAAACTTTTAAACAAGCAAAAACGTAACCTCAGTTTGGCTTAGATTTGAACTGAATTGCTATCAATTTCGAGAGAAATCAGAGAAATAAAAGTTTTGGATAAATGAGAGAAATGACAACTATTTTATCAAAACTAATGGAAAGAGCAAACCGGAGAGGAACATAGCGCCTTCATTCGAGAAAAGTAATAATGAAACAATAAAAACTAAAAATTTTTAAATTCTAAATATATTCGGAAAAACTGGGTGAAATTGCTGTCATATGTTGATGAAGGTGAAAAGTTTTAAGGAAATCGAATTTATCACCTGCAGGAGCTTTATGGATAATTTTTCAATAATTTCTTAGCATTTTATCATTCGTTACTAATTTCGCCAACAGATGGCGCTACCTTTTTTCGGTTTTGTTCCGATTAGTACTTTAGGTAAAACAATTGTTGCTTCTCCCATTTTTGCAAAACTTTTCTGCTACCGAAGCAAATTTTTATTCGATCGCTTGAAATCTATAGAGTTTTATTCAAAATCTACGCCTAATCACGATTACTATTTTGTCTTAACTGTATAAAGATTATTATTATTATTATTATTTTATTTTTTTTTATTTTTATTATTTATTTATTTATTTATTTATTTATTGTTAACGCCGGCAGCAACGGGACCGCGCCGATTCTGGATGATTGAATATACATTTCTAGAACTTACTTGATCATGTTTTGTAACATCATCTGCAGAAATAGCAGCATACGA